ATTTTAGGTTTGTCACTTAAAAAATCACAAAAATATCAAGCAGTTCCATAAATCTTTTCAAGCAGTTCCCTTTAGAGAGCCATCTTACTTCAGTGTGAAGTAAAAGTCTCACATGGTCTGCATTTTGTTCTTCACGAAATGGCTTGAAGAGAAGCTCACATTTGGCATTAGCTTTAATATCATTGATGCACTTAATTACTGAATGTAGTACTTCATTTAGAACAGGCAAGATGTTTCTAGCTACCAAGTTTTCCCTATGAATAACACAATGCACGACAATCATTTCTGGATTCTCATCTTTCATCAATTTTAAGCAACCATTTTTCTTAGGAGCACCATCTGCAGCACAAGATGTTATGTATTTATTGGTATATTATTGACATTTATATACTTTTTTAGCTTATTATATATATCGTTGGAGGCAGTGGAGCCTTCTAATCTTTTACAGAACATCATTTCTGCANACCATCTGCAGCACAAGATGTTATGTATTTATTGGTATATTATTGACATTTATATACTTTTTTAGCTTATTATATATATCGTTGGAGGCAGTGGTGCTTTCTAATCTTTTACAGAACATCATTTCTGCAGCAAAATGCCCTTTAATATATCTTACGTAAGTTATCAATACTGCCACACTGTCTATCAAAGTTGATTCATCCATTTGCACTGAGAATTTTCTTATTTTCATCTTTTCAACACGTTGTTTTTCGATATCTTCGCTCATTTCGTCTATTCTTCTGCAAACAGTATTGTTACTGAGTGGCATAGTTTTTACATCTTTTTCAAGAACCGTTTTAAATATATATATATATGTACGTTAACTTTAAATTTTAAGTAGTTGTGTTAACTTTTCAGTAATTACGTGAACTTTTAAGTAATTGCGTTGACTTTTAAGTAACTGCGTACTGATAACAGTCAAACACATCTAGGATTTCCCTATTAATTGAGGATTATGTAATGTGTTTTTTTTTTTGAATAAACTGCAGTCGTTATAAATTGTTTTTATTTCATTACTTTTTTATACTATAGTATAATTTTTTTAAAAGTAAATGTTATTATTTTACAGAAGGCGTCATAGCTGGTAAGTAAAGAAATTTTTTCTCAGTCTGAAATAGTATGTATGACTTTTACCTTTTCATGTATGTATTCTTCACGTCTGATCCATGATTTGGTTGATAACTTTAAGAAATCTATTGATTTTATAATTTTATATGACACAAAAAGTTACGTCTAGTAAGTGTAATTTGTGTATCAAGTAATATTTTATTTTTTAAGATATTTTTTTTTTTAAATTTCATAGTTTTGGTTAAATTTTATAGTACAAAAAGTCACAAAATTCTAAGAAATTGTGTCGTTTTCCTAATTTAAATTAAAAAGCAATTAAAGTGACTTCCATGGGCAATCTAGTGTAAAATATATTTTTTGAATTGTTTTTGTTGTTCCTATACATCTATGATTTAGAAATTTATTATCTCTTTGTAAAGTATTAAACATACATGTAGCAATAGTATTTTTTTAAGAACAACTTCAATGACTTAAAACTTTTAATGTATCCCTGCAAATTATTTTATATATTAATGGTATAGATCTTTTTTTCATAAAAAAACATATGTAATGTAAAATTTATTATCTCTCGCTATAAAATATCGAATATATCTGTGGTATTGCTAATTTAAAAAAACATAAACATTTCGAACTTAAAACTTCAATGCTTCTAAAAAATATCCAATACATTGGCGACTTTCTTTAAGTTAAAAAAAATCTATACCTTAAGCTTCGAAAACATAAAGAATTTTAGAAATATTTAGGAATTACCATTTTCTTGCCTACTCGTTTCGTTCACCAACCTCAAGATCGCTTTGCAGTCAGTTTCGTTTCTCGAAGTGACGCAGAAATTCTTACAAAAACGGAATTGATACAACTTTGGAATTATTATTTTTTTTATTATTACTCTTGTCGCTGTAATGTTTGACCCTTAAGATATTGTAACCTTAAAATCTGACTAAATCATAGTTAAACTCATCTTTGAAGAGGATAATTTGAATAAAACTGATAAGCATCCGCATTAATTACATGGGCAAAACAAACACAAACTACAGGACTTCTCATCTTTGTCTAACAAATAAGCTCTGAAGTAGTTGAAAATGGAAAAAATTAAGGCAAAGCTAAATATTGTTTTAAAAGTTGTTGTTTAGGCTCAATAATGGATAATTTGAAGTTCGCCCCCTCAACTGAGGTGACGTTTTAAATGGAAGAGTGATGATGTGAAATGAAATTTTAAGCGATACAACAATTAGATTTGAAGGTTACGAGAAATTCATGAGTAAAAAGGTATAAGTGAAAAGTTATAGTTCAAAATTATATTCAAATTTACGGTGCAATTGTTCTGCTTCTCAAAAGCTATAAAACTTAGAAACTTGAAATTGCGATGGTGCGTAGAAAAATATACAGGGAGGACGATGATATGAAAAAGATCAGCATTCAGTTATTAGTTCGAGAATCTTTGATTGTTAACGTTATAGCAGAAAATATCATACGGGCCGCTCCACAGTCCCCAGAAATGCAAACACAGAATGAAAAGATTACACACATAATAAAGTTACACGTAACAATACTTACATAAAATTACAATTGAGATAGCTGTATTTTATTCACAAAAGTTTTTTTATTTGTTTTATTTTTAAAAAATAATTATTTCACCCTTTTTTTTCCAAAAAAACAATGGTAAATGAGACGCAGTCACGGGAGTTTGTGTGTGAAAACCCCCAATTTATTTAAATGGATAGTTTAGTTATTTATTCCTATATTTTATATTTTACAAAAGAATAAGAATGCAAATTTATAGTGACACAATAATGATTTTATGATCAAACTAATTTCAGGAATTGTTAATTCGGGTAAGTAACAGTGCTTTGTATGTTGTACTACTTTTTTTGTTGTTGCAAAATGCCTGTATACATTATATTGAAGGCATGATTCTAATAGTTCACAAATAACATCTTATAAAACTTTATAATATTATTTATACTTAAACAATTATCTGTTATATTCATCTTGTTTTTACTTAAATATTTACTTTTTGCTTATAGTGAAAGAAGATGTTAATGGTAAGTCTAACTTTAAGAAACGTTTTTTAAAATTCCTTGTTTGTTTTTATTATATATTTTAATATTATTTTCTTTTTCTTTTTTACAAATAAAGTGGACAATTATGATAGAGAAATAATGTCTTTTAAGTGATAAATTTTTTCTTTCAATTGCAAATCGTTTTTTTTTAATGAAAATTCTAATAATTTTTTACTCAATTATAGGACTAGCTTTATTACCTTTTACAAGTTGGTTCTTTAAATAATTTTCTGAAATAGAAATATATAGGTTAAGTGAATTGTGCTTAGAGAGAACATCTTAAAACCTTTTGCTGTAGTGGTCGAATTTTCATGTATATACTTTTGATGCAATCCTAATGATTGAGAGTCGGACCTTTAACAAGCTTACGATGCATGCAAATGATATTTTAAGTCGCGAAGTTGGACAGAAAATGTATATTTTTTGAATATACATACCTTTTTCCCATCGAAGACTCTCAGAATATAGGAGTACCCGCTATCTGGGACATATGGCCAAAAAAGTTTAGTTATAAGAATGATCGAAAGTATGGTCAATAAGTTAATTTCAGTTTTTGCATGTTTCTCCATTTTTTGGTACGTTATTTAAGTGAATCGTTAGTTTCTTGAACAGTTAAATTTGATCTTAAAACGCGAAAATTTGATCACTAGTTCTAAAGTTATCTAAGTATTCCAATTATTTTATTTTGAGCTCTGAACTGTAAAATGTGTTGTTTTCAACCAAAATTTAATTACTTCAACAACTAATATACATTGAAAACATGAGGTGCTAATTGGCTATCCATCAGTATTTGCAATGCAAATTATTATTAGGAATATACTATTTATATAAATATTAAGACTCTGTATCTACTTAATATGATATATAGATATTATGGGTCATCCATCGCGAGTACGTGCGAAGTGAGAATAAAGCGAACAGGTAAAACTTATTCCAGGGATTTAAGGGAAGAAGACAAAGAAAGCGAATGAGAAACGTAGAATCAGGTGAATATTGCTTATTGTAGAAAAGAAAGGAATAAAAAAATCTATAGTAGTTAAAGAGCTTTATATAGTAGTAAACCAAAGAATATCAATGGTAATCTAGTTCGGAATTTTTGCCAAAAGAAACATGCTCATATTTCGTGTGCTTTGACTTTCCCAACTAGAAAAAATGAGCTCTGACTCTAAGCTTTTCTATCACCATATTACTTTGTCGTGGGTGGTTGAATTGAATCATTGATTTTTCTACAGTTTCATTTTCCTTGTATACAATATAATTATCGTTCTACAAGCTATTTGTATAAATCCAACGTTTCATTAGAATAATTTTTTTTCTCCATACAGAAGCAGTTGATGATGGTAAGTTAAATGAAATAACCAATTTAAATAATGTAAGAAATCAATTTTGCCTCATTATTACAAAATAGGAAACAAATATGATACCTCTGAATTGTTTTTAGAATCTACACATTTTGTATTATTTGCTATTAAATAATAATACACGGAATAAGGGAAAGAGAATACTATGAAAATTGTGTAACGCTGCCATTCAGTTATGTAAGCGTAAGGTGCGGTGATAGTGGCATATAAAGGTACTATATAGCTGTCATGAGAACTCCTCTCGACAATAAGTCTGTAGGCTGCTATGAAAGCAAGGATAAATTCATTTCTAATGAGAGAGAATCGAAAAAATACAAATAAGAATTTCCCTACCTAAACTAAAGCGAAACGGTTAACTTCACATCTGTATTCGAAGGCACTTATTTTTGTAAACACTAGCACACGAGTTTGGTGTCTGGAGGAGTTCTTGTGATAGCCGGTTAGTAGTACTGTGATAGTTCATTCAAATGCGAGATTTCTGATTTTTTCGCCTTAATGGTCGAAGCTCGACTCATGGTCAATCTAATTTCCAAAAGCGTCATAGAACTAGAATTTTCAAGATCGAGTTTCAAGAATATACAGAAAATGCGAGAAAAAAATGTAATGATATTGGGTATTGACAAAGTGCAGAATACAATCAGCATCAAACGAGATTGGTGTGAGACGGCTGAGCTATATTAGCCAGTGTAGTCAAACATTAGCTCAAATTACAACCCATATGTTAATAACAACCACATTATTGTTTGTTTAACCACGAAACTCCTTTTGTCTTGGTGTTTGAAGCTATCTGCTGTTATGGGAACAAATAGAAGCCCATTTCAAAGAGCGGACCTTTTGATATTTCCTCCACCGACTCTATTCGAAACTTGTATTCACTCTAAATTTCTACTTGAAGGTGTTCAACTTCATAACCATAATCATTAACAGTGATCTAGACTATGGCTACAAAGTAAACTATGTTTGAACGACTAAATTCGACTAAATTTGCGACCATTCCACTAAGTGCTAAAATTTAAAATACTTCCAGAGATTACATATTTTCTACGAAAAAAAAAATTAAAAGTGACTTCTTTCAAAGAAAAAAATAATTATCCCCATTTTCTTTAACATATTTCTTAAACTGTACTTCGAAATGTTATATAACAGGAAAAAATTCCTTACATGTGCACTCTGTTGTCAGTCTGGCAACGCGAAATCAACAAATATTAAAAACCAGAAATGTAAAACTTATACCGTAAATGCTTTAAAACGTTAATCAATCACTATTTTACAAGCTGCAA